TTAATACTATAATCCAGTACATCTTTTGATCTGAAACGGCGCGGAGTGTCGAGGCTCATTTTTCGCGAATTGCCAACAGATCCAGCAAGGTGCGAAAAACGATATTATTAGTTCACACATGACTTTTCCAGCTCCGAGCATAAATATAACAGACTAATCCGAGTTTTCAAAGCATCGGTTGAGTAATTTTAGGTGATATTTACAACGCGTTGATTTAGTCTTGCAACACATTCGACCTTTCTATTAGTTGCCTATACACGTAGGTAAATCACTATGCTTGGTGTATAAATGTTTTTGTGTGACCTCTATGATGATGGAAGAAACCGTCGTTGATAGGACGCATTCATATTAAGAACCAGTCGTATTAATTCGTGTATGATCTTACGGTTGTTTCTTGATGAGTAAAGTTTACCCCTATTTGGCATTTCGCAATTATATCGGGTATTACAGAAAACAATCGCAATGTTTGTACAGCATAAAATATGTAAGAAATAGCAAGAAACTATACTATACAGGTTGTTCATTTAAAAACCTCCCACAACGCATTTATCGAATATCACTGATTAAAAGAAAAAACGCCCAAACACATCAAAAGATTTGTCAATAGGGACAACTTTTTAACCAAAAACTACTTCGCCTCCTTTCACCCTAGGCCCCCAGGGTCATTACCGTAAAAATTTTAAATAACGAGAGGGAATCGAGTAATAGCTTGTTTAAAAGGAATTTCGAAGTCCTTTATTTTGACATTTGATTTAATAAAATCAGTGGATTCGTTTTCAAGAAAATTAGGAAAATCTTTATTTATCTTAACTTGTTTAGATAGAAAACAAAAACTCACGAAAATATCACTTTTTATTTCAATAAGTGTTCAAAGTGTTGTCCGTTATGGTTTGCCAAAAATATACAATTCGTTTATAATTTAAAACGGAAACTACCAACATAAACAGCAATTCGGAAGATTAGACGTGGCAACAACCATATAGCAGTCCGAATTTTTTTCCACATTCTTTTCATTAACACAGGTGTCCTGGGCGAAGTGTATTTATTGTTATACCTGTTTAATTATTTGTTGCTAAGGGAAAGAAATAATTTAATTGCCCGTCAGTTCCTTTGTGACAATCTTGGGATGGTGAAAATCACTTAATTGATTCAGATTTTACTTCCAAAGGGTTTACTCACTAGCCAAAAGAGTGGAAATGATTCTAATTTATGGTGCCCACAATAAATATGCTCGGAAAACTGTCATCCAGACATCCGGGGAAGATATCTTCGCATAGGTATGTTTTGGACCTTGCTACTAAATTTACTCAAACTGGATCTGTTGCAAATAAAAAACGTGATCATCGGAGATTTTTTAATGAAGCCGTTCAAGGTTTTGGTCATTTTGGAATAAATCCTAATACTTACGCAAAACTATTACTGCCACTGGTATTGTATTAGGCTCTGTACACGCAGAGACATTTATTTGGATATGTTGGAAAATGTCATCAATCCTCTTATCATTGAAATCATTGGAAACCAAATCGAAGAGGTTGGCAACCCTATACTTGATGAGGCTGAAATATATTTCTAGCAAGACGGTGCACCTCCCTACTGTGTTCTTCCTTGCCATGATATACCCCAACATATTTTTGAAAATGTCCGTCAGGAATTTGAACATCGCCTATATGATTGTTTGGGCAATAATGGGCACATTTCGAACGCTTATTGAAATGAAAAGCGATATTTTCGTATAATTTTATTTTCTATCTAAACAAATTAAGATAAATAAATATTTTTCTAATTTTCTTAAAACGAATTGACCGATTTTAAAAAATGAAACATCAAAATAAGCAGTAGAAATTTATATCAAGACAGGTCCAGTAAAAATTTTCCAAAAAAAGTTAGAACAGATAAAATTTAAATACGGCTATATCACTGAGAAAATAAACATGTATTAAGCTAAGTGTCCAGAAGGACTAGACTCTCAAGAGATTTTTATCCCATGAGAAATTTATTTCGGATATGTTTCCACAGAACATGATGATGATTTCTCTGAAACACTCGAGTTATGCTACTTGCAATTTTTGCTCTCACCTGGGACAAAGGTCTCTGAGCTCAGCGGTTTTCACAGTAGCTACGTGAGAGAACGAGAGAGATTGTATTGAGAAGAAAGGCGGCTGTTTGTTATTATTATCCTGCTGTTAAGCCTGAAAGCAAAAGGCTTGACAAATGTTGGGCGAGGGATATAAGAAAGGGTTATAAGAACTTTCTCCGAATGTCCGCTGCTGGTCTTCGGTATTTGCTGGACAAATTAAAGTTTGCAATAGAAAAACAAGATGCACGTATGCGTTATACCACCTAACGCAACATTTAAACGCAGCTTTTCATATAACGCAGCCAAATTATATAATTATTTCCTAAATGATTTTTATGACTTTTCTTTATTGAAGTTCAGAAAAAGCCAAAGAATTTGTATCTGTCTGAAGTGTGAAGGATCCTATATGCCGACCGTCGACTCTGTTTACGCCCACTACTTTTCTACTTGTCTCTCTTTCCCTTTTGTTCGACTAGTTGTTGATACAAAATACTTTTTCGTTACCTTCAAAATATATTATGATTTGCTAATAGGATGTTGACAGCTGCACCAACGACAAAGACTTTTAATTCTACATTTTATTGTGAAAGTTATCGTTGTTAAATGAATGAGCTGAAACTCACTACATTTTTTTTTATTGTTTTATTGTTAGTTCCTTTCTCTTAGGCACTAGGTTCATCTTACAGAATAGTTATTATGACTATCATTGATACTTATGTTTATCTTTATTTTTGGGTTTTTCCTTAAATATGTTCATGTTATAGATATATTTTTTCAAGGTTAAGTTGAAAAATACCTCTAGGGTAACATTGCACCTTTGCAGTTTTATTTTGTGTATGCAAAGTTGAATAAAGGTACAGTATTATCATTATTATTATTTTATTATTATTATTATTATTATTAATATTATTATTATTAAATGCAATTCCAGCAGCTGAACGGTTTCCGTTCATAGCTGATTTTTTTATTATTATTTTTATTTTAAGAACTCTCTGATAACCAATCCATTTTTTTTTTTATCGGCAATGACCAATTCAACAAGTTGGGATTAGATTAATATAACTCGACTAACTGTCCTATCATCTCCCGAGTCCAATTGAAACTAGATTTTTTCCTTTTCAAGCCTCTGTTTTTACTCATGTGAGAATCGCGATATATCATGCTTACACGAGGAAACTTGTACAATAGATTAAACTTTCATGAGGCATATTTAATTATCTTACGTAACTCACGCCTGTTTCCACAGTAAAATAATACTTCTCATGAAATTTTAAAAAACGTATCTGATAATGAGTTGGTGTAAATATTAATAATAATAATAATAATTATGAACGACTTTTACTCGGGCGAAGTTTAGCTACAAGCTATTCTACCACTTAACCCTTGAAGATAACTATAGCACTAAAATATTGATAACAATTTTAACAAAATTTTCTTCCAAAATTTGAACAAGAATTGCATATTGAATACAACGTATACATGTTTAGAAATAAAAAACTATAAACGATTAATATACGAGTAATTTGCAGAAATATGGCTGAACTATATGTATATACTGGCGGTTTCATATTTGAGCATCAAAGATAATTCTTTTAATTTGCCTTTTGAAATTATTGTAATCGAGACATTTAGCAGACGATGGCAATGCATTAATATAGATTGATGGCATTAAAGGTAAAGCATTCATGAAATAAAAAAGTTTTGTGAAGAGGCATAGTTAAAGTGTCAGTGAATCGAATGTTTCTTGAATGGGTATATTCCCGACATCTTAATCTATTTTTTAAGAATGAAGAAAAGAAGTATGTAGTAGTTTGTGAACATACCATAGTAAATGAAGCTTATACAATTTTGCAACATTCAACCAGTTCAGCTGTTCGAAGAATGAACTAATATGATCATATTTTCTTAAGTTGAAAATCAATCTACAACATGAATTTTGAACTTTTGTAGACGTTTAGCTGAAACTGAATCGAGAAATGGATAGTATACTAAGTCGCAATATGTGATTTTTGATATTATTAAAGATTCACATACAATTTTTTTTTGGATCTAAAATCAAGTATTTCTTTATTTAAGTACAGATGCCGTAAAACCGTAAAACAACTTTTAGTTACATGATTCACATGAGAAATAAAATCGAGATTATAGTCTATAGACAAGTTTTTAACTGATTCTTCTATCATTTGTGCTTCCGAAATTCCTAAATTTTCATAATTGAAGCTATCATATAATTGTAGGTCGTCAGCAAAAACTGAATACTACAAAATTTTACAACCCTGTTCATATCTGCCAGATACAAAATAAAGAGAAGTGGTCCAAGAACTGATCCTTGAGGCACTCCTGAGGAAATCAGATGTTCTTTAGAAAATTCTGAATGAACGACTACCTTTTGGGATCTGTTTATCAGAAAGCTTCGTATTAAGCTGAGTGAGGAATCATCGAAACCATAATGCTTGCATTTAGCAGCCAAAGGAGAGTGATTTATTGTATTTCGATACAAGCGTTCGCGCTTTTGTAAAGTCCAAGAGAACTAAATGTGTAACTAAATGGTGATCCCAAGCTCTGACGATATTATAAGTGAGATCGAGGAGGGCACTTGCATTTCCGAAGTCCACACTGTTTTTCCGGTAGAATTCCATGTTCTAAGATATAGTCATTTAATTTTCGATAGTGGTAAAATCAGAGCTTTTATCCATAAATTTGGAAATATGCTCCTTTCTAAACAATAATTTATCATATGCAGGATGTGTAAAGAGATTTCGGGGTAACATAACTTTACCATCAGCTCCCAAGGCATTCGATTTCAACAAATGTAATATTGAAGATGGATCTGAAAAATGTATGAGCTTAAAACTTAATAATAGTATATAGTTAGCGTTCGGATATATATATATATATATACTTCTTAAAACAAATAAGTTTACACATAAAAAGCATTTTACCACATGTATGATAATTCGGCAGTTCGTAGGTTTTCAATCCGCCTACCTGGGTCGTGGCAGAGCCAAACAAATAAGTAGCTTGAAAGTTAGCTAAAAATAAGCAACCTGCCTATCTACGCGTGTCCCCGAAGTCCCCAGGCGCTGATGGAGGCCACCACCACTCACTCTCACCTCCAAGAGTGCGTCTCACGTAGCGAATGCTCAGCGGGGACGGAGAAAGCTCCTTCGCCAACCGCCGTGAGCTGAAAGAAATCGCACCGGGACTGAAAATTGAGAGTAATAAAGTGCCCCAGCATATTTTATCCGGCCAATATGCGGACAGACAGGGACGGAGCACAAATGGGGATGTAGGCATTTTTTATATGGTTTGTCTGATTGAGTCTATCGAACAGAACCAGGGCAGTTCCAAGAAAGAGCCAGCTCTGAAAATTGAAAAGAATACAACGTAGTGACATATTTTATCCAGCAAATATACAGACAGAGCAAGACAGAGATATGAGCAATTGTCCGTGGTTTGCTGATTGAACCTATCAAGTAAACACTACTGGTGATAGAAAATGACAGAATGGTTTGGCAAATAAACCTATGCTTCGAAAAACGAGTTCTTCTGATGGAACCAAGAAAGATAATTGTTGAAAAAATAGTTATGGGTCAGATATGGCTAGGACCATTAGAAAAAGAAAACGAAAATAGAAAACATACCTTAGGGATGCCAAATGAACAGAAACATATGTTACCAAGGCTTCTCAGTTACAAAATGAGAGCATGATGGCGTGTCAACCATTCCAGCCCTTTGTGATTGCTAAGATCACAATCTTGAATAAAGCTTCAGGAAACCTGATTAAGGACGATTCTTACATTTTTAAATCCAAAATAGCCAAAGGCATACTAAACTGACGATGAAAGCTTAAGACATATTCGATAGCTATAAGAATCAGTTTAGAGACGTTCATACGGTAGCCTTCGCAAAGTACAAGGTAAGACATTGTAGGAAGCTTTTCCTCGCGAGTTATTGAAATTGGGCTGTTTTTTTCAATTTACTCACCTATCCACGACCCTTTGTTTTACCAGAAATACACGTATCATCTAATATTCTTTACACTCAGTTTGAATGAAGTGAAATTTCTTTCGCAAGTCACCCAGACATCAGGTTTGACATACTTATTTCTGTTTGGACTGTCACACTTCACTTGCAAAATGAACGTAACAATTATCAAGTATCGTACTTGGTTTTTCAACCTCCAGTTAAGTTGTAGACAGAATTCATTACAAATCCTTGAAAAATTCACCTACAAATCTGACATTACTATTTGGCTGTTATCAAAATTTATTAATCATATGAATAATAGTTATAATGAGCAAAGTAAATTGAAACATAACTGTAACGTAAAACATTTAGAGAAACGTTATTAAAACTAATTAAGCCTTAAAAAAAGGCTTAGTATAATATGAATACAAGAAATTCGATTCTTGCAAAAATCCTCAATGGGATATTGGTGCCTGTTTGTTGGAACAAAGAAATTCAGAATTTGGTTCAGTGTCTGAAAGCTTAGTCTTAGATCGGGTTCTGTGTTTGATGTATTTCTGAACTTATCTTTGAGGTAAGTGTATGTTGAAAATCCTTTCTCACACAGATACGTTGTGCAGAGCGGAAACAAAATGTTCATGGCTTTTTCTGCTAAGATCGGGTATTAATTTTTTACATTGAACCAGAAGTCTATTAAACAATGATCTGTAAAAACATACTTTAGAGAATTGTCAGAGGATAAACCAATGAGCTTTCCTTTTCCCAATAAAGATAAGGGAGTGTGAGAAATTATATATTCTTCAAAGAGGATTCCGCATACTGTTGTTTAATCCAATTTTATTATTAAAATACTCTTTGAACGTTAATTGAAGCTGTTTGAGATGTTCAGTATCTCTTTTAATATTTTCGTTAAGTTGTATTTTAGTCTCTGATAAAAAGCTGCTGAGGTAACCAAAACAATCGTACTCATCCATCTGCAGACATTGATTCCAAAAGTTGAACTTCTTTAGCATGACTTCTATCATGAACATTGAAAATGGTGATTCCTGAACCTTGTAAAGATATTTAGTTCATTTAATTTAAAAAACATATAGGCTAAGTATGCAAGTTTTTGGAGCCACATAATGTCGGATACAGAAGCGGACAAATGAAATGGATGGTCAAGAAGAAATGCCTGGACTTCAGACTTCAATTCAAATTAGCGGGTCAAAACTTTGCTACGAGAAAGCCACTTAACTTCTGTATGAAGTAATAAAGAGACGTGGAGACTTCCCAAGTCCTCACAAAGTTCACGGAATAGACGGAAATTTGTAGCACGGGACTTTATAAAATTCACAACTTTTACAGCTTCGCTTAAGGTACTGGCTAAATCTGCAGGAATACGCCTACAAGCCAATGCTTGCCTATACATATACCAGTTAGTCCATTCTATATTCTAGTTGATCTTCTTTATTCGTGCGACAAGACCAGAATATGTTCCAGTCATTCATTTTGCTTCATCTGTACATACACCTAAGCAAAATGACCAGTTGATTTAATGTTTTTCCAAATAGTGATTGATCATAGTAAAAATTGCTGCACCAGTCGTATAAGTTTCCAGTGGTTTCGCAAATAACACATCTTCTTGAACGGAATTCTTAAAAATATATCTAACATACACGAGCAATATTGCACAGTTTGCTTCATCGGTCGACTCGTCAACCTGTATAGCAAAATAGTTCAATTTTATTATTTACAAAAGATTACTTTCAACACTGTTCGCCAATTCTCCGTGACGCTGTGCTATTTGATAAGGGCACATGGTCAATTTTTTGCCGCTTTTTCTCCAAGCATACACATTGCGATGTCTTTAGCACAAGGTTTGATAAAATTTTCTGCTACTGTATGAGCTTTTCCAGATCTTGCGATTCTGTAAGTCGAAATGATGCTTCAAGTGTCATTTTACTATCTGCGTTGAAAGCCGACAGGAAAGAAGAAACACTACCATCCTTATTATCTTCCAATTTCCTTTTGAAATATTCAATAGATTTATCCTTGTAATCCGGATATCTTGTCTCAAGGTGCCGATGAAAAAGCGATGGTTTTAAACTACTGTTGGCCAGGAATCCTTACAAATTCCACAAAGCGGTTTAGGTTCTGACTCTTCCCCGGTAAAATAGAAACCCATTTGCAAATAATCAGTATCGTATTTTCGTTCTTTTCTTTCTTTTCCACAATGCTTGTTTATTTTCTCTTCATTCTGGCGAGAACGTACCTCACTATAACTTTCAATATCGCCTCTCTGTGGTGGAGCCAAATCGGGAACCGAAGAAAAAGCAGTAGTTGACTGCTCATCCGGCTATTCGTCAGAGTTCACAAAACTGCCCGTTTTTAACCAACTATCCATCTCAAATTTACAGAATATCGTTATATTTATTTAATTCTCATTATTTCCAGTGCATTCTTAGAAAGGTCTTGGTGCGCCCGATTCGCCGAAGTAGAACTCTTGCCGGATTGTTGTAGTGGCGGTGTTGCAATATTGAGGACAAATTCCGCCATTACCGCTTGAGAACCCTTCCTTTGGAAGATTCGCCCAAAAATCTGACATTTTTTCTTTCCGACCTCGGTGAAATATTACCACGCTTCGTTCTAGCACTTTCACTTGTTTGAATCCTGTAAGTATTTTTGATGACTTTTCAACTTCTAGTTGCGTTGTAGATAGAATTCATACTCCATCCCTTGAAAGACCCACCCAAAGTAAAATCTGACAATTTTTCTTTACGACGTTACAGTGCTCCACTTGATGAAATACTACCCAGCTACTGGAACTGTACACCTAACCGGTATCTGTCAATTAGATGTGAATTACAGCCCCGTGAAGCAACGATAAACTTACCCGTGATTATTTTTCTCCTCAAATTTATATTCTCTTATTAGAGCACGGATAAAAATCACACGATACTAATTAGGTTGAGCTTTTGAAGGTTTGAAGAACAAGATGGATAGCGTTTCGGTCGCTAAAATCTTCAAAAACTGTTATTGTTAATGACTGAGAACTAGATTTGCTCAGTTGATTTTTCAACTTCCGGAACAGAATGACTTTAGTCAGACGAATAAAGAGGCTGAAGAGCCACAGGGATGTTTTGCAGGCCAAACATTGGTTTATTGACGTTGCTGTGAGACAAGGAGCATTATCGTGATGCAATACCCAATTGTTATTGATCTGATAAACGATGGTATCAGCCAAATTTAACTCTCCTTCGATCATTCTGACTGTTCACTGATCTGAACGCACAAGATCCCGGATTCTTCGTGGTTCATCTTCAATCGACTCTCTCTTTTCTGAAAATGCCTTAAATCGCCGAAGAACCTGGGCTCTTGACAAAACTCTACCTCCGTGGGCCTACTGAAGTCTACCACGAGTTTTTGTTGCACTGTGCCCAAGTCTGAAGCAAAACCTGATAGCACACCGTTGCGCGAAATTGCATTTTTAGAACACAATAGAAAAAACTGTTTCACAAAAAAATAGCTACGGACAACCAAATGACTCGAGCGAGGTCAAACTTGTACTGAAGGAGGGTCACATGTTCCCCTGTCTCCCCCCAAGCTCTTGAGTATTGCCGGATCAAACGTTACGTTGCTAGTCTCATTACTGAACAAAAAAGGGCCCATATAATTCGACCATCCTGCTCGATTACGCCAGAAACTTCCCTGTCCTACTGAAAGTATCGCCCATCTCACTCGTTACTTAGACACCCAAGTCAGCCAGACATGCACGGTGCGCCACTGAAACGGCAAAAAACGCAGATTTTGACTTTTGTTTTTTCGCGTCTTGTCCATAGCTTTGCCACTACTGGACTAATTTTCAAAAACTATAGAGAGTTTTCGTCCTTGGCATAGTAGTAATCCTGTGTGAAAATTTCATCAAAACCCAACCGGTACTCTCCCAATTATAGCGGATCAAGGTTACGGGGACAGAGAGATCGACGGAAATGAGTGACATGGTTCATACCTGTATAATCATATAACATCCAAAGACTCAATATCTCATTTTCGAAACTTTTCGCCATTTTTCCTGCCTAGTAGCGAGGGGAGCGAACACTCGTAAAGTGTTGTCTTAAATCTCATGTAAATTTGTAGGGCGTACGCCAAACTATAAATCCTCATGAGCAAAAGGTCTACACCGTATCATTAGGTTATAACAGAATGCTTTTTAGATCGTGTATAGGCCATCTGTCACTCTCTGACTTGGTAGAGTCTTCAAGAGGCAGAAAATCTCGAAACACAAGGAAAGCTTATTTTTGTTATTTAGTTTTTTATTTGTCCAACTTGGACCATCAATTATAAAAAGCAATACTTAGTCAATAGGTGACTATTTTATTCAATGCAAGCGTTTTTGCTATTATCTCATATTTTACACTGTATTTGGGATTCTCCACAATTAGGTTGGGCTCCCTCTCACAAATTCTAAGTAAGCTGCGCCACTGAGTAGTGATACGTATATTATTGATGACCAAAGTTAGCTGAATTACATCCTGAAACGGATCCTTGTGGAACCACTCGCGTTGATATTGTGAAATAAAGAGGAAATATTCTCAATTATAACGGATCTCTTACGATTAGGGACTGCTTTGCAAGTACTTTCTGGGAAGCCGTAGTATGGGAATTCACTTGTACAACGACATACCACAGTTGACTAAAAACCTTGACAGCAAATCTTATAGTATTCCCAAGAATCAACGCGAGTCACAAGTGTGTGACGTAGGCTGCAGATATCTCAGAAGCTGCAATTTTCCAGTATTTTATTAATTTCATAACAGCGGAGCTGTACACCTATATATGGTCAAATTTCCCGCAACTGAGAAACTGACGGAGTTATAATGCATCTAAAAGAGAGTAGGCCTGTGAGTACTTATGCTGCGCACTCTTTTAGTACAACCAACGTTAAGAATCAAGACCAGGAGCTGAGGTCTGAAGGCATAATTCTAGAATACCTATCCATCAAAAAATCTAGCATTTCTAGGCTAGTAATCTAATACAACGTTACAGTAAAGTCTTTCAGATTCAGATAACACGATATAAGAAAGAATAGTCACGGAGTGGATAAGTATTGATTTAAATTTGCGGTCCCTTCTCCATTCGTATTCTGTATTCTCCCGTTTTTTAGTGACGTGTCTCCCTATGGACTTCCCTGATTGCACCTGTCCATATAGATCTTCCAATTTATTACTCGCGACCCTTATATAGTCAAGGAGCTTTCTATATAGCTGAGCATTCAAGAGACGAAGAGGCAAAGCAAGTTATTCCAGGACACAACCCGCAAATGAATGTATTCTTAAAAATGGAATCAGTATCTTTCACGTTTTTAAATGAGGAATTTCTTGGGCTCTATCAATAAACTACATTGTTGGTAGAGTTTTGGGAGTGGTACAATCTCTTTTGTACCTAGATTGAACTTGACCCTCATTGGCATGATTGTAGAAAGTTTAAGCCATTGAAATGCTTCAAAAGCTATTTTTTGGTGAAAAATGATATCAATTGCACTTCATATGTTAGAAATGATATATGTTGTATCACACTTACTTCACCAATAGGATGGATCCAGACATTGAGGTACGATCACGTATACGTACAACAAGGAATATCGGTATTGATGAACAG